TCGCGCGCCCAGCCAGACGCCGCAGGACGAGAGAGGCGGGGCGGGGTGGGGCTGGATGGGAGGTGCGAGGCTGGATGGGAGGTGCGAGGAGGATCCCGGGCGGGGCAGGGAGTGGGGCGAGGCGGGGCCGGGCCGGGCAGCCGCTCGGTGAAGTGGGAAGAGCCCGGCTGTGTGGTGGCTCAGGGGTTGCACCCGCCTGGCTTTTAGTCTTAAGAACTCTACCAAACCTAAAGCCGCAAAGGGTTTTCTCCTATGTTTTCTTCTGGAAGTTTCAGAATGAAGTTTTTACGTTTAGGTCTATGATCATTTTGAACTGACTTTAGGATATGCTTTGAAGTATGGATCTTAGGTAATTTTTTGGCTTTTAGATATCTACCACCGTTTGTTAAAAGAGTTACTCTTTTCCCACTGAATAGCCTTTGCACCTGTGTCAGACACATCAGTTATCCTTGTTTGTGTGGGTCTAAGACTTAGGATTCTCTTCCCATACCTATTTGTCTATCTTTATAAAAAGTACCACATTGTCGTGGTTACTGTGACTCTATAATGAGTCTTGAAATTAGGTAGTGTTTGGCCTCCAGTTTTGTCCTCTTTCAAAGTTGTTTGGGCTCTTCTGTTTCCATATGAATTTTAAAACCAGCTTGTCATTTTCTGTTAAGCGGGGATTTTTGTTGGGGTTGCATAAAATCTGTAGGTCAATATGGGAGGAATTCGCATGTCAATAATAGAGTCGTTTGACCTTGAACAAGGTAAGCCGCATTTATTTAGGTATTGTATAATTTCAACAATGTTTGATCTTTTGTCAAATATATCTCTTAGATTTATCCCTAAAATCATGCGGAAGGAGGAACCAATTTCAATTTCTGGTTATTCTTTTCTAGCATGCAGAAATACGATTGATTTTTTAAATTTTATTAAAAATTTTAATAGTAAAATATATTTTTATAACAGTGTTAGTTTTAGGTTCATAGCAAAACTGAGCAGAAAATACAAAGATTTCCCCATATAATCCCTGTCTCCACCCACCCACAACCTCCTTCAATATTGGTATCCCTTTACCAGAGTGGTACGTTTATTACAACTGATGCACCTGTGTTAACACATCATCATCACTCAAAGTCTCTAGTTATAGTAGGGTTCACTCTTTGTGGTGTGCATTCTATGGATTTTGACAGATATGTAGTAACATGTATTCACCATTGTTAATATCATACAGAATAGTTTCAGTGCCTTAAAAATTTGTGCTGTCTGTTCATCCCTCCCTCCTCACTAACCCCTAACAACAACTGATCTTTTTACTGTCTCCATAGTTTTCCATGATATCCTGTAGTTGAAATCATACAGTATGTTGCCTTTTCAGATTGCCTTTTTCACTTGGTAATATACATTTAAGTTTCCTTCATGTGTTTTCATGGCTTGGCATCTCATTTATTTTTGGTGCTGAATAATATGCCATTACCTGAATGTACCACACTTTATTTATCCACTTACCTAAGGAAGGACATTTTGGTTGCTTCCAAGTTTGGCCAATTATGAATAAAGCTGCCTTAAACATCCACATGCAGGTTTTCGTGTGGACATAATTTTTCATCTCCTTTGGGTAAATACCAAGGAGTGTGATTGCTGGATCATATGGTGAGAGTATGTTTAGTTTTATAAGAAACAACCAAAATGTTACCCAAAGTAGCTGTACCGTTTTGTATTCCTACCAGTTACGAATGAGTGTTCCTGTTAATCCACATCCTCTCATGCATTTGGACTTATCACTGTTTTGGATTTTAGCCATTCTAAAAGGTATGTAGTATCTCGTTGTTTTACTTTGCATTTCCCTGATGACATATGATGTTGAATATCTTTTCATATGCTTAATTTTCATCTATATTTCTTCCTTGGTGAGCTGTCTGTTCAGGTCTTTAGCCCATTTTAAAAATCACATCGCTTGTTTTCTTACTGTTGAGTTTTAAGCGTCTTTTTTCAGATGTGTCTTATAAATATTTCCTCCCAGTCTGTGGCTTGTCTTCTCATTGTCTTAACATTTTCTTTCACAGCAGATTTTAAATTTTAATTAAGTCCAGCTTATCAATTGTTTCTCTCATGGATTGTGGTTTTGGTGTTGCATTTAAGAAGTCATCACCCCAGGGCATCTAGATTTTCTTCTATGTTCTAGAACTTTTATAGTTTCATATTTTACACTTAGTTCTATGATACACCTTGAGTTAATTTTTGTGAAGGTTGTAAAATCTGTTTCTAGATTTGTGTGTGTGTGTGTGTGTATGTGTGTGTGTGTATGTGTAACAGAGAAGAACAGAATTTCTGACCCTTATTATTTATCCCTCTCTTTAAAGAACTTTTAACCTTTCTTTCAAGGCAGGTCTACTGGCAACAAACTCCCTCAATTTGTATTTGTCTGAGAAAATCTTTATTTCTACTTCACTTTTGAAGGATAATTTCTTAGGGTACAGAATTCTAGACTGGGGTTTTTTTCTCAACACTAAATATTTCATTCCACTCTCCCCTTGTTTGCATGATTTCTGAAGGGAAGTTGAGTATAATTTTTATTTTTGCTCCTCTACAAGTGTTTTTTTCTGCTCTGACTTCTTTCAGGATTTTTTCTTTGACGTTAATTTGATATTAACTTGGGGGATGTTCTCAGTCATCATTACTTTAAATATTTCTTCTTTTCCTTTCTCTTACTCCTTTTGGTATTCCCATTATGTGGAGGTTATGCCTTTTGTAGTTGTCCCACAGTTCTTGAATATTCTGGTGAAGTTTTTTGTTTTTGTTTTTGTTTTTTCACTCTTTTTTCTCATTGCTTTTCAGTTTTGGAGGTTTCTGCTAACATATTTTCAAGCTCAGAGATTCTTTCTTCAGCTGTGTGCAATCTACTAATATTCCCAACAGAGGCATTCTTGATTTCTGTTGTGATGGTTTTAATCTTTAATTTTTTTGGTTCTTTCTTAGAATTTCCATGTCTCTGCATACATTGCCCATGTGTTCTTGCATGCTATCCATTTTATCCATTAGAGCTCTTAGCATATTAATCATAGTTGTTTTAAATTTTCAGTCTGATAATTCCAACATCCCTGCCATATCAAAATCTGGTTCTGATGCTTGCTCTGTTTCTTCAAACTGGGTGTTTTTTTTTCCTTTACTAAAAGGAAAGATATACTATATCTTATAATTTTTGTTGAAAGATGGACATGATGTACTGGGTAAAAGTGCTGTAAGTAGGTTTTTAGTAACCTGGTGGTAAGGTGTGGAGCTAGGAGACATGTTCTATAGACTTATGATTAGGTATCAATCTTTTAGTGACTCTGCCTCTGGATTGTGAAATCCACATGTTCTTCTCAGTTCCTTCTCCCCTTATGTGGGATAGGATGGTTAGAATGGGCTGGACCTGGATATTTTTCTTCTCCCATGTGAAAGGCTAAAGGAGGCTGGAGTTGTGTATTTCCCTTCTTTTATGTAGAAGGCTAGCGCCAGCTGGTAATGGCTATTTCCCTTCTCCAGGTCAATTAGGCTCTGATAGACCCTGGGAAGTTAGGCTCTGGTTAAGTTTCCACTGAGGGCAGAGCTTGTTAACAAGAACTGAATGCTCTGGTGTATTTCAAAATGGTTCCCTTTCCCCAGACCCTGTGAGAAGCACAAGCGGATTTTTCTCCAATATCTACTGTGAGGACCTGGTGAGCTCTTGGAGGTAAAACCCACAAAAGCATGAGGGGGTTCTCCTGGGGTTTTTAACTTTTCAGACTTGCCTAGGCTAAGCCTCTGGTAATTTGTCAGTTACAATCTAGGATTGCCTACCCTAGCTCATGAGTTTCTGCTCTAGTGAATTGTGATTCTCTGTATTGGCCTGTTGTCTCTCCAGTTTGGGGGGGGGGCAGTAGTTTGCCCCTACTTTCTTATGGATCTAAGAAGAGCTATTGATTTTTCAGTGTTTTAGGTTTTTACTTGTCAGAACTAAGTGGCAATTTTCTTCTGTGTGTATCTGTCATAGATTTTTGTTTTGTTATAACCATCGTCTCTATCTCCTCTCTTTATCTGTGATTATTTTATGTTGATGATCTCTTAACTTTGAACACATTCCTTCAACCCTACAATTTTACTCCCCCTCTTCCTGTTGAATGTTCTTGATGTCATATTTTACATCTTTTTCTCTTGTGTACCCCTTAACTACTTACTGAGGGTGGATGATGTTTACTACTTTTGTCTTTTAACCTCCTACTGGCTTTTAAGTGGTTGATCCACTATCTTTACTGTGTATTTGCCTTTACTAATGAGATTTTATTTTTTTAATTTTCATATTTTTAGTTTTGGTCTTTTCCACTTACAGAAGTTCTTTAACATGTATTTTAAAAACTGATTTAGTGATGCTGAAGTCTTTTTCTTCTTTGTAAACCTCTTTGTGTCTCTTTCAAATCTGAATGATAGCCTTCCTTGGTAGAGTATACTTGGTTGTAGGTTTCTTCCTTTCATCATTTTAAATATATTGTGCCACTCCCTTCTGGCCTGCAAAGTTTATGCTGAAGAGTCAGCTGAAAATCTTACTGGAGTTCCCCTGTATGTAACTATTTCCTTTTTTCTTGTTGCTTTTAATATTCTCTCCTTGTATTTCATTTTTGCTATTTTAATTACAATTGTGACTTAGTGTGGACCTCTTTGGGTTGATCTTGTTTGAGACTCTTTGGGCTTCCTGAACCTGGATGTCTGTTTCCTTCCCTACATTAGGAAAGTTTTCAGCTATTATTTCTTCAAATATGTCTCTGCCTCTTCCTCTTTCTTTTCTCCTTCTGGGATCTCTGTAATGTAAATGCTAGTACACTTAACATTGTGCCAGAGGTCTCTTAGTGTATCCTCATTTTATAAAAATTCTTTGTTTTTCTTTTTGTTCAGCTTGTGTGTTTCCACTTCTCTTCCAGTTTGCTGTCCTGTATCTACTCTTGATTCCTTCTAGTGTTTTTAAAATTTCAGTTA